AAAAAAAAACATTTGGATTTTTATTCTGTCTTCGTAATTCGATAACTGAAAATACAAAATAGAAAATACAGTAAACTGAAAATCCATGCACAGCATACGAAGTTGCATAAAATATAATTGATTGCAATGTAATATTTACTATGCGCGCAAAAATCAATAACCATCTTAGGTATATTGAAAATGTTTGTTTGTTTCAAACACTCACATTATTTTGGGTTATTTGTCTTCGAGCCCTCAAACAGCATCGTCGAAATATTTCTGGGAATCTACATGCTTCCCAAGACATTAGATCAGACGGATTAGTCGTTTCGTGAAGATTATAAGCAAGGTTTAAGGATCGTTTCTAAGTAGCCGACTGGGGCTAACCTAAGGAATTCTGAATGAGTCAACTGGGAGCATAAATACGTAAAGAAAGTTGCATTCACGATACAGCACTATAATAGACATCACACTTTCTCCTAATCTTTCCTTACTACCCTCATGCCCATATACACTTTCTCAGTTTTNTTTTCCCGATACGGAGAAAAAAGTCTGGACCTTTGCCTTCACAAAACAGTTTTAACTACGACATTCATTCATGGGTAGCCCTCTGACGAAAGACCAAAGAGTCTCCCTGGTCCTGAACCCGTTTTGACCTCTCGTATAGATAAACGCACCCCCCTCACCCGATGTATACAAATTTTAACATGAAACCAAAAGAAGGATGAATTTCTATTCTGGTTTCGAACGTTCAAAATAGAAAATATAATCCAGGATACGTTTCCGGTAAGCTCCTGATGAAGGGTTTCTTCACCTTCCTATACCCTTATATGAATTCTTATACCTTAAAAGAGGAGACAGGTACTAGAGCGAACTACCCACTCCCACTTGTAAATATACCCAGCAGAAAACTGAATATAATATTGAAAACCGAATACAGAAAAGGCAGCATGAGATTCGCAGCAAGGGTGTCGTGAAAAATTCAGAAAAATTTATTCAGAGAAAATTTTTCCCACGAAAGGGACGACATAAAATGTGCCAATAATGTATGCATAGGGTTATCAAATCATTGTCAAGCAAAACTATTCAAGGAGATTCACATGAATCTCTTGAAGTTTCGCTCATCGATGATCAGGGGTGAATGACGTTCAGTTCCTTTTCTATGTTGGCTCTACTGCTTCAATAATACCTACAGAGTACACAGCCATGTAGCTTTTGGTCGCAACTAATGAAGAGCAATNCTCTTGTGAAGAAACAGTAGAAGAGAGGAAAATCGATGAATTTTTTCGGAGCTCTATTTT